TTTGCCCTCGAGTCCGGTTTCCGTTTTCGGACCGTGGCCGGGCCTCGGTGTCGGGACCGCCTAACCATGCTCCGTTTGTTCTGATTTTTGGCAATGCTTCCTTTTAATCCCTTTTGAGGGACATCTGGGGTTGCAGAGAACCCACTTCGGTGGCCGAACGCCACCTTCGGTGCTTAACAGGCAATTTTCGGGACCCGCGAACTGGCGTGTTCGGCCTCCCGAGCATTCATTGTGCATCGGTTTTCGTCCTATTTTTGGCAGGTGCCGTCTTTTCACACCAGGAAGGTCCACTGGAGTATCGGAGGCCACAATTATCTTGGCAACCAGTTCATATTCGCATTGTTCACCCCCGACACCCTGTTTTCTTCTCACTTCCTGAGCTCAATGTTGAACACCTTGGAGCCATGTGTCTTCACCCAACCACTATTGTGATGTAGCACAACAGGAGGACCCTAAATATTTATGGCCTGCCATTATCCATTTGAAACCTTTTGAACCCCTCCTCAAAATGGTCTTGTTCTACTCTTCGGTTTAGAGTTCCAAATTTTCGTAACCCCAGGGTTGTGGAAGAGGAGACCTGTGGTAGGGCGCACGCTTTTTGTGTGCCGGCCACTAAAGCAGGTTGACCTTTTTGACCCCTAGCCGGCCGGCTAGGGGAGGTGGCCCGGACCCGGCCACCTGCAATGTCCAAAAAGGTGGCCGGTCCCATGTTCCTTGCAACAACACACTTTACAGCTGTATAGCTGTATCCCCCAAAAAATATCTCAATCCAGGGATTAATTTTTTGGGGAAAACTTACCTCCTTTTCCCCCAATTTTCCCCAACTTTACACCCTCTTTTTTGTTCCTTATAACTAAAAAAGCTGCAAGCATTTTGTATTAGGGGTTAGAAAAAAATATCCTTGAGCCCTCTCTGCATTATATCCCCTCTCCTTTCTCTCATTTCTACCCTAAAGACACCCAAGTTTTGCATCCCCTTTTCCTTCACTACACCTAACATCGCAATCATGCCACCACTTCCATTTCCAGCATCAAGGAGGGTTCTCAGAGGCAAAAAGGTGCTGGAATTGGTCCAAGCAAACCAAAGAATTGGTCTTACAAGGCGTGAGTTGCCATTCCCCTTTTGAGATTTATTTTCGTGGTTAATCATTTCTTAATCCATATATGCTTTTTTTCTGATGCTCGCAGGCCGATATAACTGAAACAGTGCCTCTTTTGAGCTCTTTTCCACTTTTTCTTAAGGGCCACCCTGTTTTGAGCCCGCCATCTTGCACTATGCTTCAATACTCTTCCTTAAATGCTATTTCTTGCATGCTTTGGGCAGCCTATTGTGCTTCGGTTATCTTTAGGTCTTTTACGTATACTAAAATAGTCTTATTTTTGGTCCATTATTTTGTTTTTATTAAGGGCTTTCATGGTTTGGGACCTCCATATATCACTTTCATGTTATATCCCTCCTTGGTCCCCTTTTCTTGCATGCTTTGGCAGCCCATTGATGGCTTCCAGTTTTGGGCGTTTTACAGAATCGAAAAACGAGGTTTATTTGAGCCCCTCTTAACATTGAAGAAGGGCTCAACACTGTTTGGGACCTCCATGCTATACTTGCCTTTATTATCCCTTTTGGTCCCCATTTGCTTTTTGGTAAGCCTATTAGTTCCGGTTTTTGAACCTTTTTTACAGTACTAAAGAATAGGTCTTTTTGGCCCATTCTCCATGTTTCATTAAGGAGTCTTGGCCGTTTGTGGAATATTTGTTAGACTTGTGTTTATAGCCACCTTTGAGCTCATTTGCATTGCCATTTCTGCATGTTTGTATACTGTTTTGGGGTTTTACAGTTTTGTAAATTGCAAATATTTTCATCCCTCTTCAATGTTGTAGAAGGGAATTTTGTCAGTTGGGCTTTGCATATATCACTTGCTTCTTGGCACTTTTTGGCCTTTTCTTCATAAGAGCTTAGCCATATCTATGTTTGTTTTAGGGTTTTTACAGTTCTGAAAAGTGGCTTATTTTTGGCCTCTTCCAATTTTGTGAAGGGCCCTAACCTATTTGATTAGCACGCGAGTTGCTTAACCTCATGTTTAGGGCCAATTTTTGCATGCATTTGTTGCCCTTATCCTTGCTTGCGTTTCGGCCATGATTTGTACGTAAAAATGCTTAGTTTGAGGCTGCCTGCTTCTTGTCTTTCAATCTCAATGTCACCATTATATGGCGTGGCATTGTGTATGACTGTAGTTCAATTCTATGCGCCCTCAATTTGCATTTCGGAGAGATACCATGCAGTCGGGTGTTGTTCACCCTCATTTCGGGGCTGTTCCCCCACATTCATTGCTGAATATCCAAAATTAACATGTTTGCATATCATTTTCCAATAACATTGCATTGCGATATATGCCATGCTCCTCGGTTTGCGTGCCCGGTGCACGCATTTCGATGGCACTTCATTTTCATCCTCGGCCTCTTATGTGATGTGGCGAGGCTCTCTCATGTAAGTAAAGTTCCATGTTGCATTCTATATGCCATTTTTGCCATATTGCATGCATATGCCATTGCCTCGGTTTTGCTGGCCTGTTGCAGCATTTCGAGGCACTCATTTTCATCCATCGGCCTCTTATGTGAGTGTGGCTGAGCTCTCTTCAGTTAGTATAAGCCATGTTTCATGCCAATGTTTTCTCATATCATTTGCCATTAGCATGAATGCCATTGCATCGGTTGCGTGCCGTTGCACGCAATTTCGGACGACAACTCATTTTCATCCACTCGACCTCTTATGGATGTGTCGGCTAAGGCGTCTCTCATGTTATATAAGTCGCATGTTGCATTTGTCCATGCCATTTTTAGCGCCTATGCTTTGCGTATGCCAATTGCCTCGGTTTGTGTGCC